TATATATATATATATATATATATATATATATATATACAGTATATATATACACACACACATACACACACATACTCACACACAGACATACATACGTACACATACACACACAACCCTTCATTTTATTTATCTCCTACTCCAATTTTATATGTAGAAGGTTGAGAAAACATAATCTGAGCAAACCTTTTGCTGTTCCTCAAGATACAGAAGAATCATGACAAGATGGTAATAATTTAGTGAGTCAACAAGTCTCTATTCCATATCAACAATCTTGAATATGCAGTTCGAAACAGTAGTTCTCCAGATCGTGTTGTGCTGATTAATACAGGTGGGGCTTTCCCACAAGCGGTATCTCACAATTGCCCCTGTGCGTCTTTTATTACAGCTCTGTCACTGACCACTTTGCCTTGAGACTGACATGGCATACAGTTGTTTTTTACAGTTATGTCCTGTGACTATACATTGCACAGAAATTCCTAGACATTCACAAATCAACCACACATGGGAAAGGAGTTGCACAATGGCTCAACTCATTAAAACCTGATGCATGTAAACACAAGATGACATGAATGTAAATATGCTATTTGCATAATGTAGTTTAACACAAAAATAAATAATGTATTCAAACAAAAATTATATTAAATAAAACTAATAAACATTATAAATACAATATAATAATGAATACATTCAGATAAAAATTATGAAAGGAATAGACAACTGTGGCACTTCCTCTAACCTAAAGTATCAGATACAAATGTAGAGCAGAAATTATTTGAGAAACCAAATTAAAATATCCTGAGCACTTTTTATTTTAAAAGTAAAAAGAAATAAAGTTAGAAAGAAATACTTTCTAATGTAAAGTTAGATGAATAAAATTTATTATCTCACCACTAGCAAATTCTTTGTAGACCTTTTAGAAACTACATGATTCCAAGTCTGCAAAATACTGTTATATACATTTCCTCACCCACATACAGGAAAATCACTTAGTTCAAAGACATATGTGTGGTAGATCAAAGATACTTGGCTCAGCTCTAACCTTCATTCTCAAACTAGAAAGTTTTTTATTCTGATTTTTAAGATGTGGATTTGAATCTGATTTGAAACTAAGTACTCAATTTGTGCCCAGTGAGGGGTGGACTCACAGAAGTTGAAAGTATTCACCCATAAAGATATTGGAAAAAGTCAAATGAAAAGAAAATTGGAAGAAGGATGACGGAAGGATCTAATTTTAAATCTGAAGATCATAAACCTGGTGTAATTCTGCTTCACAAAGCATAGCCAGCCAACTTGTCAAGCTTCACAGCACTAGTTCTTCAGATCAGAATCCCGAGATTCTCCATTAAGCTTGTGCACCAGGATTTCTAATAGGAAACTTTTCCTTCATATTCAACATTTCTTAGCACTTAGTTCTGTCCCAGAAAAATTCTTACTGTTGTGCTTCAGCTCAAAACTTAGAAACACGAGATACCTGTTTTGACCATTATTCCATCCAGAAACCATAAATAAAGAAGCATCACAGTAAAGTAATCCATGTTGGCTGATACATAAAAGCAACCACACTGAAGAAACATCTCTGTCTACAAGACAGAAAACAAAGAAAACATTCTCTGATGTGCTTTCCTTTAGTAAGCTAGCTCATGGCATTATCAAGTAACTCTATGTAGCAAAAACAAATTAGGCTTCCAAACTGACTCCTTCGCCAAACATTTGCAACCTGAAGCTTTGCTCACTTTGATCCATGCTTTCTGCTTTCCATTCTGCAGCATTCGTTATTTACTCAACTGCAGAACTGTTGCAAATTAATTTCAGCTGAATAAAAGCAATGATTGGGGGTGGGGGGGGGAGAAAACTGGATTATATTGGTACTATAATGTATGAGACTCTAGTTCTAGATTTCAAAATGAGACAGCATATATTTTGAAAGTGGAAATCCAGGTTCTTAAAAGTCAGACTAGATTATTTCACATTTACTTTGGCAATTTGTACAAATTTCTGATGGGAAAGCTCATTTGCTTTAACATGAAATGTGTCCGACCATTCCCCCCGATTCCTGTGAAGGAATGCAGGAGAGTACCGTACAAAAAAGCATTTTAATCTTTTTCTTCCTTAGTACACTTCATAAGGAAACCCTCATTTATTTGATTGGTGGGATCCTCTTCCTGGTGTCAGGAAAGGGGCTTTCCTCCTTCTGAAGTAAATGCAAGCTATAGAAAAGACGTTTTCCTCAGTGGAAGAGAGAACTCCCACTTTACTGATTCCATGCCTTACCCCCTGCCCCAGTGGAAATTATTTTAGAATTGCTGCACACCAGCTGTGCAGTTTGGTTCTTCCTTTTGATTAGATAATAGGTTAATACAACATCTCTGGTAACGTTTTTTTTTCTCCCACCTTAACATAGTTGGTGGCTGGAAATCTTCACGGACTGAAAGCTTCTAGGACAAAAATTAGAGCTTTTCCAGCTCTAGAGCCAGAAAGAATAAATTCAGTTGCATGTTTTAACCATGTTCCATTTGCAAGAAAAGCTCTACTATCCCTGATCGTTAGAAATGTTTTGAGCCCTATTTGATTTATTAATTTAGTGTTAAATTGGCATGATAATTGGGCATCATTAGTCTTTCCCTTCTGTGGCTCAGAGCTTAAGCATGGTGATGTGGTTCACATGATTTGCCTGCAAAGAGAAAAATGGACTTTAAAAATAGACACACCAGTGTGTTGCTTCTTCCTCCTTGCAAGGCATCACTTTCTGCAACAGTTCACTGATCTTCTACAGCCATTTTGGACTCAGCAGTTACCTTAAACTTATCATCTCTTATTTTGTCCAACATTTTCAGTAATAACTGCTCTAAATTGCTGCAAATTCTGTGAAATGCAAAGGCTTGAGTAGCTTTTGTGTTTCAAAATATTTGGGGTTGGGCTTTGATCTCCACCAGCAGTGGCTTATAATACAATAGCAAGCAGAGACTTCTTCCTTTCCATTCCAGGGCTACAACAACTTGTAGCAACTCTCTTTGCTTCAAGAAGCAGCAGCAGCAGCAAAGGGAGAAGGTGTGCAAAACTCTCACTTTCTCTGGAGATGCCATACACAAAATGGGTGCTACCTCAGTTCTCAGCCATCTGGGTTCTCACTTCTCAACCATGTGCCTGCTTTGGTGCGCTCCAAATGTCCTGGGGATGCCACCCAAAACCCAGAAAAATTTAGACAGGACTACCAGCTAATGAAAACGAAGACAGTCTGAACAATCCCAGACTCTAAAGTAGTGTTACTCAGCCTTGGCAGCTTGAAGATATGTGGACTTCAACTCCCAGAATGCTGGCTGGGGAATTCTGGGAGTTGAAGTCAACACATCTTCAAGTTGCCAAGGTTGAGAAATACTGCTCTAAACCTTCTTCAAATATCTCCACAGTATATCTACACTACAGCTGCGTTTGGATGCCTTTTTATTATCAAGCCTGGTTTCTTTTTGGTGTTTGTCATTTTTATCTGGTCTTGCTATCTTTTGAGGGGCTGTATTGGCTGTTTTGTTGTAAGCCCAAAGTCAGTTGGGTGGGGGGAGGCTATAAATGGGATCAAGCAAACAATCAATTACTCCAAGTCAAAGCATCAAAGGACTATCCTGCAGCACTCTCATTTTGTACCCAAATAAATGTTGCCCAAGTATAGTCTGTGGCTTGCCTCATCTCAAGGACAGATGCACAAAACCTAGGACACAAGACTCCCAAATCTCACTGAATGTTTACCAGATATTGTATTCAGCCAGAGTGCTTGGACAGACCAGGAAGATCTAGAACATTTTCACTACTTCTGTACTGCTGCCTAGACAGTATATCTATGAAGTCACCAAGGGGGTCAGCTTTATTTGAAGGAGGCTTTACTTTTAAGACATCCCATCCAAACTCTTGCACCCCATTATCTACTAAAACAAAGTCCTGATAGCTCTGGAAATTTTTAACCTGTTCCAAATTCTACCACGTATATGTATTATCAGAAATATCTCTCATTTGTGAATGGGAAAAAATGCAATGGAGTTGATTTCCCCCAATCATCTGTGTCCCCAGGATGGAATCAAACCCAACAGCCCTTACCCATTATGGAGACATCGTACTCAATCTGGAAGAGTGCCTCCTGGCTGCACTGACGCAGGATGTTTAGTGCATCAGCATGACTCACACTGTGAAGAGGAATCCCATCCACGCTCAACAGCCTGTCCCCAATTTTCAAAGACCCCTCCCTGCAGAAGAAGATAAAGGCATAAATTAGGAAGACATACAGAATCAGAACAATTAGTACCTTTTTACTGGCAACACTGCCACTGTTTCTACATCTGCTCCAAATGTGCAAATACTGGGTCCAGGAGTTCTCCAAGGGTGGGATGTAATTTTTGACAAAGCTCAGAACAAATCTGGATGGTGTTCCTGCTTTGCTGGGGAAAGCCCACAGTGAGTTTTGAGATAATTTTAACTTTGTATGTATGAGACTGGCTTGCACATATGAAGCAGGAAAACTGTCAACACTTGTTCCTGCTTTGCCTGGATGAGTCTGTTGTAGGCTTGTCTAGGCAAACAGGGAGCAAACCCTGGAGCAAATTTTGAGAGATAGCTTAGGCCTGGAAGCCTAACTATCTGTCTAAGTCATCTGCCAATCACAGAAGCTTTGTCATTTAGTTATTTATTATTTATTTTTATTGATAGGGGTTGCACAAATTTATTTCTCATTTTAAGGGGTCACAGTTCGATAAACTCTGTGCCCATGCTTAGGTTCCTCTGATCTGTTATTTGCTTGATACAAAAGGATGGTGAAAAAAATTAGGGCTGATACATTCTTTACTGGATTATTTCTTTCAGTTAATTTTTTTTTAATGTCATTATCTTCACATCTGTTTTACTGTGTTATCTCTTTCATTCATATTCTAGTATTTCTGTACTTCATGGAGAAAATCTATCTATCTACGTAGTTGCTAAGAGTCGAAAACAACTTGATGGCACATCATTTTCATACTATTTTTACAACACATTCCCATCCTTTGCAGTCCATCACTACCGCATTGCTGAATCTGCAATTGGCTTTAAATGATCCACCACTGATTAAATTTTTCAAATGTATTTTCCATAGTTCATGTTTTCTGGTTACCCAGAACTAGTTCAGCAGAGCTCGAAGGAAATCTATGTTCAAGAAGTAAAGAAAGATACACCAACGGTAGATGTGCAAACCTACTGAGAATGTTTTTATAGATGGTATGAAAAATATGTATTTGTTTAAGCTCCACTTAAACAAATGTGCTAAATGTGGAACTATGTGAATGTTACCTGTCTGCTGGGCCACCTGGTCTAACATAAGTCAGTACTAGTGGCCTGGATTTATGCCAATCTTCGTGGGCTCCTCCTGTAAAAAATTGCAAAAATAATTCATAAAAGAGGCAGACACTTATCTGACAAATCAGTAAAAAAAGATAAAATGTTTGTAAATCAGCAAGCAGCTATCAGTGATTCTCTGGAAAACATGCAGTAACCTGGTAGTATCCATTTGCCAGTCTCTGAAGATTACTTTTCCATCTCCCAAAAGATGCCCATCAGAAAGCTACCTTAGAATGACACAGAACACCTTATTTCATTCTTTTCCCCTGTTTTCAAATGCCCCAGCGTGTTGCTGATTACAAGTGCACTGACCTCGTAGTACAAATCCAAAACTATTGCCTTCTTTGTAGAGGGTAACTTCAATGGTCTTTGGAATGATGCCAGCACTATTATCTGGGGCTGCAGACAAGGGAAATAAAAGGATGAGCTAATTCTTTTCACTTGCTGTACCCTCCTTCTATAAAATCTGCATATTTATAAGTTCTGCAAATGATCTCAAATACAAAAAGTCATCCACATAAACCTTCTAGATTACATAAACGGGACCATTGCCTGTAATACTTGCCACAATTGAATGACAGCATTCAAATGACCGGATCTGTCTTCCAGATTGCCTCTGATCAAACTTAATACATATACATATATACTGAGCTTGTTTTAATATACTAACAAGCCAGAGCCTTTTCTTCTACAAGTTTCAAAGCTCAGTAGGTTTCCTAGAGCTAACAGTTTTTGCCACAGATGTTTACTGGATTCTCAGATACCTTAATAATAAGCCAGCTGGCAACTTCGAATGAATACATTCAAATCCTCATGGCTAAGAGGACAGTTGTTGATTGTGATCATTAAGTAGAGAAAATGATTAAGTGTAAAACAGCCCTGAAGGAAATGTGTCTTAGTCCATATTTAATTTAGTACCTCATTTAATTTTAAACACTTATGAAAGCAAAGACTGCATCTCTTATTAGTAAACGGCACCTACTACACAGTCCATGCTATGACTTTCCAGACAACATGCCTGCCTCCTTATCGTAATGGTATGTAAAATATATACACAGTATAGTCAAATAAATTGGTAAAAGAATTAACAGTGCTTTTAAAAGTGCACCAATTAAATTGGGCAGATTGGTGAAGGGAGAAAGAAGAAATTATTATATTTAAATTTAAGTACTTCAAAAATGGCAGCTGACAGCTACCATTTTAGAAATGGTGTCTCCCCATCTTGTCATACATTTCAGTAACTCTCTCAGCCTGGTGCCCTCCAAATTTGTGAAGAGTAGAACTTTCAATAATTCTGACCAGCCAGTTCATTTGCCTTGCTGTCTGGGAATTCTTGGAGTTGCAAATAAAGAAAGACTGTCCAGAAGAGAATATCTCTTCTAAGATGCTAAAAGACTCCTGTGCCTCATCTAAAATCAAGGAAAGCATATTTTTTTTACTTCAAAATTCAAATCCAGTAATAATGAATCAACCAATTAACTACCATTCTGATAGTCAACAAAGATTTCTTTCATTGACAGATCAGTCTAGTGTGACTATTTGGGGTTCGGTCCAGAAATGAGCTCTTCAAACTATGTGGTGCAGTAGAGATTGTATTTTCTACCTCCGAATCTTTCTTCTGAATCAGAAATCTTCCCATGATCCCCAACAGCTGTTGTTTATCTGGATAGAAGCAAAGCCTGCTTCCAACCTTATGTAATGTTAATAACATTTACAACCCACTAGCCAAAATGCGTGTACCCTATTTAATATTTTAAAGCAGCAATAAAAATATTTTAGTCGAGAGAAAAAAGGCCTTTGGATATTGAGCATAGGAAAATTAAGCAGGACCTCTACTTCTACCATATTACTTAAAATCATAACCACTTCTAATACTATAATTATTTTACTTCTCTAACCTTACTCATTCTCAACTTCTGTCCCTTGCAACTGAGAATAATGCTCCAGAGATCTGATGAAGTAGATTGTAATCCACTAAAGGTCGTGTCATAGTGCATTATTTGTCACACAGTACAGTTTTATGTGATGCCCAACTTGAATCCCATAAATGGATTCAAGTTTGTGGGTCAAAAAAGAATGGTTGGGATTTTTTGAGCAGATAGAAGCCCTTCTGCTGAAATAACCATGGACAGGAAATCCTTTGTGTGGTCTGCTTTCTGTATTAGTTGATGCTTCTAATGTCTACTTTATATATTTGCCGATTTTGTGAAATCTTTAGCATTGTTAAATGTTTATGAGCAACAGTATCCAATATGTAACAGCATGGGGAAAAGTGGAATCCACTGTAATCACTCCATGAATGAAGTCACTGGCAAAATGTGACTTCAGGTAAAAGGATCTCAGATAGCAAGGCTGGAACATCCTGAACATCTGGAGAAACTACTGCCAATAGGAGTAGGATTACTAATCTAATGGTACAGTCACTTTCATACGTTTCCTCACAAAAGGGAAGGGGAGGAAATGAACGGAGGTCGCCTAATCTTAAAACACCGAACCATAAAGCTTTATTAAGGATATACTAACCAGCTAACGGTAGCTCATATTCTACTTCTAATATTACCCTTTCTCCCACATTCTTCAATAGACTTATAATTTCATCATGTCGCAATTTTGTCAAGTTAATCCCGTTCACTGACTTGATGTAATCACCAACATTTAGCTGATCACTCCTGTAACAGACAAAACAAAATATCTCAGTTCTTTCCAGGGCCAACCCTACGACTACTCACTTGAGGCAACTGTCGCAGGTAATAGAGGCAGAATGACAGTCTCTTATTATTTTTGTTTTAAAATTCCCTGGCTGTTTTCTTCATTGAAGGGTACACTGAGTTGTATAAACCCCATAACAAAGGCCTAAGTAGATTGTTGCCTTTTTCAGTCACCAAAAAGTTTTGGATCCGCTCTGGTTATGTCTTTACTGATTAGCTAAATAGAGAGGTCTATGTAGTAAACAATGTGCAGAGCAAAAACCAAATCTTACTTAATACCTGAGATGTCCATCAACATTTTTTTAACAAATGTACATGGCAACAGAGAAAAGAAAAGGATTTATGATGTACAATCTTACATCCTATCTGCAGAACCTGTCTTAGATGGCAAGGTTGAAGGCATCATGAATAAGCCCTTCCAAGCTGGGATCATAGCAAGCAGTTCAAAATGCAGTGCCGCTTAAACATTACAGGCCCATTAAGCAATTAAATGAAATACCATTTAAGCTTGACATTTGCCATTTGGCACGTGTTGTATTGACCATACGACTTGCTAGTTTACTCTTGCTGTACGTTTCATTCTCCAGCCTTGCAACTGAAAAACTCCCTTGCAACTGTAGTTGCCTTACCTTGCTGCTAGTCCTCCTGGCCTAAGGTTAGAGACTCTTGGCTTCCCATCTTTATCAGTGCCACCAGCTATAGTTAATCCGAGGGTGCTTCCCTCTTTTTTGATTAGCTCCACAATTGTGACTCCTCTAAATTCTTCTGAAGATATAAAGAGAGAACAACTCAGTGCACTGGAGTTTTTATTATGGACCATTACTATATTGGAGCATTTAGATCCCATCTTTCGATTTCTGAACAAGGAGGAGGCATTCCAGACAACTTACAGAAAGGTACATTTTAAACACTTCAATAATAAAATTATTAATAAAAATAAAAGGACTAATAAAATCATTCCAGCTAAGTAATTTATAACAATACGTCTGTTGAAAAGAAAATAGCTTTTAAAATAGTATTTTCTATATCTATAAAAAGCAGCAAATAAGAAGAGTAGGCAAAATTAGAGCAATAGGAAGAGAAAGGAATTTCTTTGTCATATAGGATAACATGGGTTAGAAATGTGATTGATTCCAAATATTCTTGATCCAGTTATACAAGCATGGAGGTCCTTAGTATTCTGAGGAGCCAAAGGTAATGAAATGACAGGAAGGCTGATTAGAATTCAAATGGCAGAAGACTTGTAAACAATATGATCAAATATTAAAAAAACACAATTTTTTATTTTATTCTGTAGTGCTGGTCCACTGGAACCTTTTCAGTTATAAAAAGAATTCTTTTTCTAGATTGTCTAGATTCTGGATTCTCTAGAATCCAACTATGATAAATGTGTACATAAAATCGCAAATGAGCTCAACTTGGGTACAGGTAGTCCTCACTTAATGACCATAATAGGGACTGGAAAATGCATTGTTAAACAGGGTGGTTGTTATGTGAGTCATGCCTGATTTTACAACCTTTTCTGCAGTGGTCATTAAGCAAATCACGTGGTCATTAAGTGAATCACACAGTTCCCCATTGATTTTGCTTGCCAGAAGCCAGCTGGGAAGGTCACAAATGGCGATCACATGACCCCGGGATGCTGCAACCATCATAAGTGTGAGCTGGTTGCCAAGCACCCAGATCACGATCATGTGACCATGAGGGTGCTGCAACAGTTCTAAGTGAAGAGGATCAGTTGTAAGTTCCTTTGCTCAGCACCACTGTAACTTTGAATGGTCACTAAACAAATGGTTGTTAAGTGAGGACTACCTGTATGACTATAGCCATATGGTTAGCCTTTCCACCTTGTACACCCAATCTCTGAGGACATGAACAAGCTATTTGGATGTAGTAAGTCTATTTCCCTAATTCTTTATTTATTTATTTAATCAAACTTCTTGTCTGCCTCAGCTGCAATCACAACTCCACATAGTTTACAAAATATGAATAATTAGGATTAAAACAACAAATGAAAAAGGTGAAAAGTAACAATAAATAATAAGATTACCAGACAATCAGATTGAGGCAAATGGCATGACTCATTACAAAGCAGTACAGAATATATATTGGAGTTAGATCAAAAACCCCTTTGGCCCAGGGCCTGCTGACAAGGCCAAGTCCTCAAGGTTTTCCAAAAGCACTTCAGGGTTAATGTTCCACAGGGCACGTGTTGCCACAAACAAAGTCTGCCTCCAAGGTCCCACATTGCTTTAACAATAGGCCCTGTTCACCTTGGCTACTGAAGGGATTAATGCATCTTTGAGGGATGAAGTTGCCTTGAGAGAAAAGTGAGGACTATTTATCATCATACTCCTGATGATTAAAAGTTGAAGCAGCATTACATCAGTTGGTGTCAAAACACCATATTCTATTAGTCTATTAACATATTCCACACCAGTGTTTTTCAAACTTGGCAACTTGAAGATGTGTGGGTTTCAACTCCCAGAATTTCCCAGCCAGCATAGACTATGTTAAAAAACCTTGTATCTCATCTGAAGAACTGAAATTTTTAAAAAAGGAAAAAAAAAGAAGGTAGCTGGCCCCATTTTATCAGCAGCATTTTCTTCTGTCTTCTCCCTTTTACTTAGTTTCTTTATTTATTGATCATTGCTTTGGCAGCAACTGATGTAATACTGCTTCAACTGTTAATCATCAGGAGTATGCCATATGGGGCTCTATGTTTATTTTTCCCCCCAATATGTGCCAATTTCTTCCTCTGTTTTTCAGAGCTGAGCTTACAGCGTCATTCTATCTATATTACCATTTCACAGGCGTTTGAGCCGCCCGTGCAGCCGTGGTTGACGAAATACTGTTGTACGTTTGTAGCATCCCACACAATCTAGTTGGGTGCCAGTATCCTCAGTATGAACAAGTTTGAAAAACCCTGTTCTACACCAATACCTGTAACATTAGTGCTGTGGAAAACACTCTCAAACATGTTATAGCACTGAAGAGTGATAAATGTTTATAGGTTATCTATTATATGGTACTAGTTCACCTTTACTCTTAACATTAATGTCAGATTATCTTTTAAGTGAGGAATGCTATATCCTTCATGCTTCCATTATTCAGTGTCTTGGGTTCGTGCTCTATTTCTATCTTCATCTTACATTTCCATAAAAACATCCCCTTAGCTGGGGTCATAGCAGCTAAAGGATCTAGAATGGTATCAAATCAATGCCAATTATCTTTCCACCGTAAAAAGGTTTAAGATCACCAGTGCAATCCAAACCAGAAAACACACGAATTAGACAGAGGAGGATCATCAATGCCTAATTTAACATGCATCATTCTAGCCAAGTTTAGAAAATTAGGCTCTGCAGCAAGTTTTTTTCTTATGAAAGAGCCAAAGTGACACCCAATATGGCAGGACTTCTGAAATTAACAACTCCAGAATTCAGCAAAATAGTCCCTGACTAAATAAGGCAGGATGTATTTCTTAATCTCCCCCACTTTCTTTTTCTAGCCAGCATTCTAGAAGCTGAAGTCCACATGTCTTAAAGTTGCTGAGGATGAGAAACCCTGTTCTAGACCGCTAACTCAGAATGTTCAAATGGACTTGCAACTTACTGTATGACCAATATGGCTTGCCTATTTGAGATAGCTGGACTTAGACAAATATATACCTGATACAAATATATGATTATACAAATATATATGTTTCATCTGCATATGATGTTGTCTACAATGTTGGCTACTGTATTTGAAAACTATATAATAGTTCTGGGAAAAATGCAGAAGAGGGAAATCAAAATAATCACCTTCTCTGCCAAAAGAAAAAGGTAGAATTTTTGGGACTGTTTAATTTAGAAAAAAGACAAGCAAACTGGGAAATGATTGATATGTATAAATCATGCCTGTCATGAAGAAAGATGGGCAAATGTTCTCCTTTTCTCAAAACATTAGGGTCATCCAGTGAAGCTGACTGAATGGAAATTCAGAACAAACCAAACCAAACCATTTCTTCACGCAGCTCATAATTAAACTGTGGAGGTTATTACTACATCATATGGTGAAAACCACTAACTTGGATGCCTTTAAAGGGGGTAGAGAAATTCATCTGTCAAAGGGCTTGACTATAGGGTACCATGGCTCCAAACACCAGTTGAAGGGAACAATAGCACAAAATGGGTTCATCTTCACCTCCTGCCTGAGAGTATCCCAAAAATATTTGGAATAACAAATAACACATGAAATGCTGTGTAAAACAAATGGTCCATCAGGGCTATTCTTATATTCTTATATACTTTTCATGAAACTACAGCCCAAAAATATTTGGAATAACAAATAACAAATGAAATGCTGTGTAAAACAAATGGTCCATCAGGGCTATTCTTATATTCTTATATACTTTTCATGAAACTACAGCCCAAAAATATTTGGAATAACAAATAACAAATGAAATGCTGTGTAAAACAAATGGTCCATCAGGGCTATTCTTATATTCTTATATACTTTTCATGAAACTACAGCCCAAAAATATTTGGAATAACAAATAACAAATGAAATGCTGTGTAAAACAAATGGTCCATCAGGGCTATTCTTATATTCTTATATACTTTTCATGAAACTACAGCCCAAAAATATTTGGAATAACAAATAACAAATGAAATGCTGTGTAAAACAAATGGTCCATCAGGGCTATTCTTATATTCTTATATACTTTTCATGAAACTACAGCCCAAAAATATTTGGAATAACAAATAACAAATGAAATGCTGTGTAAAACAAATGGTCCATCAGGGCTATTCTTATATTCTTATATACTTTTCATGAAACTACAGCCCAAAAATATTTGGAATAACAAATAACAAATGAAATGCTGTGTAAAACAAATGGTCCATCAGGGCTATTCTTATATTCTTATATACTTTTCATGAAACTACAGCCCAAAAATATTTGGAATAACAAATAACAAATGAAATGCTGTGTAAAACAAATGGTCCATCAGGGCTATTCTTATATTCTTATATACTTTTCATGAAACTACAGCCCAAAAATATTTGGAATAACAAATAACAAATGAAATGCTGTGTAAAACAAATGGTCCATCAGGGCTATTCTTATATTCTTATATACTTTTCATGAAACTACATAATGCTTCTCCCCAGAAAATTCTGTGCCAGCTTAGTTAACTGGAAGGTACAGTGTATAAGGATAATGTTTTTGTGCACATTTGCCTTGAAGGAACTCATCAATAGTTGTGTTTTTCATTATAACTGAAATGTAACACACTTGGCTAGGAAAAAGCTATATGAGAAATTGGTGAGGGAGATCTTTTTTCTCCATCACATGATTATAGGGTCATCCCTATAAACAGTGCATAGTGGACAGATAAAAGCCAATGTTTCACATGCAACAGATCTACCAGAATTAATGCTGATTTGCAATTGCTTTAAAAGGGGGTTAGATAAATTAGTGAGGATAAGGCAATGAGGTTATTTATGTTATGATGGCTTGATGTTTATCCCCTCCAGCATCAGAATCAGTAACTGTTGTTGTAAAAAGAACCAGAACGTGTTACTACAGTCTTGTTCTGCCTGTGGCTTCTAATGGTCACTGTGGGAACATCATGCTAAATCAGATGAATCTTAAAGTAGTCTAACTGGGCTTTTATATTTTTTAGGCTACTTCCCAATCTTATGATATACCATGCATTATCCAAAATTAAAACTATTCTACTAGATGGTGCCCTGCTTCCATATATTTCTACAGACTTTATGCAAACTATTGCTCACAAGCCATTGACCTTAGTGCATTTATTTATTTAAATGCACAGGTTAATTATAGATAGATAACTCTTCATTTCTGCTCCTGGGTAACTAATAACTCATTGAAAATTCCATCCTCTTCTGCTTAATGCTTTATGGAAACCCCAGTCACACATATTCTGTGTTCTGTTGTACTCCACTGAGAGTTTCAATGGCAGTATCAGATGCAGATAATACTAGCCCAGGGACTGAAAGATCAAAATGGAAATAGCCCTCCAGCTTGCTTTGAACAGAAATAATCATTTTTTAATTTCTAAAAAATGGAAAGAATTCTGATAATTTTTTCAGCCATCTGAGGCTCAAAAGAAAAAAAAAATTACAGTGGGCCAGGACTGTCCCATCTCTTCCTGGATTTTCAATTGCTTTCACCATTCAGGTATGTAAGGGGAAGGGGGACACTTTACAGAGAGAAAAAAAGTCCCGTTGTTTAGAATGGTGTATATAATTCATGATTTCTTTAGCATATTAATTTTTTACTTGAACATTAATGTTTTAAAACTATCAATACATTACCTAAAGTACTATATTACATAATGTTTAATTCATGATGTGAGGAACATTAATTAAATGAAGGGAATACTCTTAATTACTTATGCCAAACTGCCTCTTTATCTGGCTCTGATCCTTTCTGCAAATTCAGATTTAACAACGAAGATCAGAATTTGACAATGATTTAAAGAACAGTACAGTAGAGAAGACAGATCTCTGGGTGATATATTGTACAAGTATTCTTGATGGCTTGGGAACAGCACCAACAAAACGTCCTCGGTTATCCTGTTTTGGAAGGAAGGGAGAGAGGGGCGGGGCGGGGGAGAAAGAGAAAGCTAGAAGTAGATCTCGTCATGAAAGAACAGAAAGTTCTGTTAAATTGTAGACCTCAAACAATTCCCAAATTATGAATTTAAAATTCTGAGAATATCTATTTTGCATCCTGTTCTGGTTGGTGGATCTCAGAATTGTAGTAAAAGAGAAAGAGAGAGAGAGAGAGAGAGAGAGAGAGAGAGAGAAATAGCTCCTGTAAATCTTAAGTCTGTCTTCCCTTGTTGTAGTAAGCTCATGAAATAAAACAAAAACATTACCCATCTGTATGCTAGCAAAGCAAATTGAATAGATACACCCAGATAAGACAATCATTGCAACTACCTGGTATACTTTGCCTTCTGGAGACCAAGGCTGTGTCCAGTCCACCTGAGTCTTTGCTTCCTTTTGAATAAGGCCCATCATCTACAAAAGAAAGAAAGAAAGAAAGAAGCCCTGAAATTGTATGGGTTCTAAAATAAAACATTGTCTCTTTATTACCGTAACAGCTTTGTAAAAGTGCTTCTATGATCTTTTCTACCCTTATATTTAGGGCATATCACCCTTAAGAGAGAGCAGTGGTTGGAAATGATATCTTTAGGGTGATTTCTCCATCTTTTGTCATAGCATCTTGAACACAATGGGCTCTACTGCATGGAGTTCAAATAGGTTGAAGTACAAATGCAGATAATGCCAGGTTGACTATCCTGAGCTAGAAGATTTCTTATTTATTTGCAAGTATTTGTATGCCACTTCTTCTTGTGACTCTAAATGGCTTACCATAGCTATAAGAAAATATCCATTACATTCATTAAAATGGTGACTGTCTTCATCTTGCAAAATAGCTTTCTCTCAATCCCATGTGTCCTACTGTCACTGGCAGAATCAGAGATATCAATAAATATGCATAAGAACTATTTAAAGTTGGGTCAGGACTGTGGGAGGATTTCATATGGAAGATTTTGCTATGCAAAAGATGAATGCTATACCCTAATATCTAAAGCCCTTTTTTTCAGAACGGTAACAGCACTGTTCTTTCCCCCCAGAAATAGCCCTTTACAGGTGAAAGAATATCATTCCCGTAAGTCTTAAGTATACTATAATTCTTGCAAAGAAATGCCTGGTCTTTGGAAATAGAACAATAGAGAACCAACAGAAGTCTAAATCATCACACCTGAACTCAGTCACACCTTCTGTTACATCCCTTATTTCAAAGTCACTGTTTTCTTGCAGTGACTGCAAGGAATTTAAGGAGAAGGAAGAGTGCTTAGTGGGAGGGAGGGAGAAACAGCATTTGGAGGAACATCCATTTAAAATCCAAACTGTAAGATGGGCTTCATTTGCAATGTGCTGTTTTTCCATTGAGGGATTTGGTTGCCAAGTAATAAGGACTTCCAAATCACTTCTCCAATACATATTAACTGCAACAATTCCAGAAAACTCAGGACTGATTGAATAAAAACAATTTTAAGACAACCCAAGGGTCCAATAGTTATAATACATCTCAGTGCAGTTCAGTGGAATGTCTGCAATTTACTGCCCAGGAAGAGTTATTCCTCATGTTTGAAACTGACTCCCGCTCCCTGTCCCATGTATGGCCTTTGCAGTACCCAGAGAAAATACGTTCCCACAAACAAGACAAAAATAGCATATTTAGAACAGAAGCAGCAACAGCAGTTGGAGGGAGGAGGACATTCTCACATGTGCATAGAAGCTTCAGTTCCATACATAAATAACCATATCTGGTGACTGTTAGGGGCAGACATGGCTACGTACTTATGCATACCAAGTATCGATGCGTAATGAAGGAGTTCCATTTAGAACTTCCAGCTGGGAAAGAAGACAGCTGAAGAATTTATCTTCTTCCTCCTACCCCCCCCCCATTTTAATATCATCTTAAAAAGCCTGGCAAGGAGGCTATTAAAGAGGGCCCTAGAACATGTTACATGTGTGAGGCAGTGAAGTTGGGGTTGCTGTCTGTGCTTGGGAAAAGTAGCTGCAGCCAGGCAGAAATGCTT